CATGCTTCATAATACGATGAGGAGAAGACACAATTATTAGGTCAAGAAGTGAAGGGTAGTGTTTGGAAAGTGATGAGTAGCGCTAAGGGGGAGAATATGTAGGTTACAAGAATTAATAATGGATTGAAGAGAAGATGTACGAGAGTCATTTTTTAAAAGACAAGTATTGAAATCGCCCATGATCAAAGTGTGGCTGTAAGAGGGAACCAAATCACCCAGGAGTTGTTCAAAAGAACTGAAATAGTTGACATTTAAAGAAGGGCTGTAATAGACTCCGAGAAGAATTTTGGTGTGCGAGAGGGTCGCCTCGACAAATAAATGTTCACCGGAATCATTTGGAGGAGGCTGTGTGGAGGAGCAAATTATAGTGTAAGGAATTTGGGAACGTAAATAAATAGCAACTCCACCACCTCGGGAGCCCGTGCGATCATTGCGTAGCAGATTGAAGCCCGGCAAAGCATAGGAGGAAGAGGGTAGCGTAGGTTTAAGCCAGGATTCGGAGACTAGAACAGCATGAAGATTTTTGTGGTCAAGAGACGTCAGCATATCAGTGTAATGAGCCGGAATACTTTGGGCATTTATATGAACAACGTTAAAATTTTTAGGTGCATCAGAAAATTCGTTGTCAAGGCAATCAAAAAGGGAGGGTATACTAAAAAAACTAGAGTCAGTGCAGTTGCTAGCAGGAGACAAAGATTGAAAACAGTTTCCATCACTATCAATTTCAGAACTAGACATTAAATATATAATAGAAATATATAATATTAATATACAATATAAATAATATAAGTTGATAAAAATATTCAAATACCTAACTTTAATTATTATGCTCCACCTGCCGGTTGAGTGGAGTACAAAACGCACTAGAACATTACAAAAAAAAAAGACAAAGTACTACTAAACATTCAAATAAGTACAATAAAATACATTGAACAGTATCAAAGGACTTTTGAGCTATTGAGATGAGATAATAAGATTGAAATCAGTGGATCTATTGGGAACTGTTATAATTCTAACAAAGTTGACTATATGGGGATAGAAACAAAAGCAATCTAAAAAATGAGAGAAAAAAAAACACTAATGTTGCCTTGCTACAAAGCCATAAATATAGAAAAAAAACTAAAGATGAGGCTGTATGAGCATTGATCTTTTTGCCTTCCTTGAAAAGGGAGAACAACAAAAAAAAAGTGAATGACATGTCAGTGTCAGTCTTAGGGATGTCAAAGTTGAAAAAAATATCGATATATCGATACATCGATATTTTAAAAAATATCAATATCGGCTTCGATATATCGCGAAAAAAACATCGATATATCGGACCAATTTTCCCAAAAATATACGATATTTTCCACAGCTCCTTTTACAGTAGCTCACGAAATATGACACGCGGAATAATAATGGAACGAAAATTATCTCCCTAAAAATAGACCCTATTTTCGAATGATGACATAGACAATACTAAATACAGCACAGATCATAGATATGTTGAATATCATTAATCTGAGATCCAGTTACGATTTTTCCAGATACGAATTTAGTTAGATCGTGATATGCCGCTAATAATTAAAAAAATATCGTTTTTGATACGAATTTCGATATTGGTTATTTTGTATCGATGTATCGATATATCGAATCAAAATATATCGGCAAAAAATATCGATATATCGAACAAAAAATATCGATATATTTTCAACAAGCCTAGTCAGTCTGTCATCAAGTTGAGTTTATTTACCTCTCGTTTAAAGAAATATATTATTAATTTACCTTCATTACACTTAATGGCAAAGACTTCTACATATTCAACTGGGATAACGAATATACGAGTATATAAACAGGAACTTACGCGAAATAAACACGGCACAAAGAAAAGATAAATCCACAGCAAAAGCTATAAAAAGCTCACTTGTACGTAACGCAAACAACAATAAACAAAGTGACAAGATTACTTGTTACTACTACTTTTTGCTTGCTATATTGGCCACACATTTGCCCCTGGTTGGTACAGGCTTTGGTGATTCAGGCATCGCTGCTACAGGATCTGAGATTTTGTTCATGTCAGCAACCGCCTCCGGCGAAACCGGCCTCGCTGCAACTGGAACGGGGATTTTGTTGAGGTCAGCAAGGGAACTTATACGGTGACGCTTTCCGTCACCACCAATTACGAAGACGAACCCCATCCGCGTAAAGCACTAGCTGATTCCGAACTTTTCTCGAGCGGCGATGAAGGCCTGGTGCCTGTTTTTAGTCAGGAACTCCGATATGGTTATACCTTTTCCTTTTAATTTTGATTTTAAATACCACAATTTGTTCCGGACATCAATATCTCGCAATTTTACCAGTAGTGGACGTGGCCGGTCACCATCAGCAGAACGTCCCATTCGGTGGCAACGATTAATATCCTTGGCTGTGAATGCAGATATTTTCAATTTACTTGTGACGGCTCCGGACACAACAGCTACTGCATCCTCCTCTGTGGACTCTGGCAGACCATGAAAAAGTAGAATTTTTCTGCGACTGTGCATCTCCATGCCATCAACTTGTCGAACAAGCAGGTCTATTTGTTCCTGGAGACTGCGAATGGATGACAAAACAAATCTTCGAAAAGTTGTGAAATCCGCAGTTAGGCTAGCAACGGTGGATGATGGAGTAGCAGCCTTTAGCTCGTTCTCGTAGAGATTCATGCGCTCAGTAAATAAACTCTGAAGTTGGGATAAGGTATCTTGTATGGCATCCATTTGGTCGATCACAAAGAACAGTGCAGTTTAGTAACAGTGTAGATAACACTCTCCGGCAGGTATAGTGCAGTAACTATTAATTTAACATATAAATTATAAATATAAAATGTGAAATTAAATTATTTTATACACTTTTAAACTGGATGATTTTAAAACGCAACCACTTTTTACACCTACCCGCCTTGGAAAAAACATTAATGTATCTTATGGCGAGGTCTTAATTTTATTTCATTAGATTTTTAAAAGATTATTAAGTACATAAATGATAATTTATATAAGCGGTTGTGTGTGTGCGTGTTTAGTCGTTATCGTACGATAACCAATTAGCGAAGTATTATTCAACACTTCAATCTCGTGGTGTAAGATTTCATAGGGACCAGTCGAAAACGCATCTTAAGCGGCAGAGGCAGCCTAAGGGGGCCCCACGGCCTCGCTAATGGCAGATCTACATTTCTGTCTGTTGTCTTGTATTGCGTCGCATCAGAGAGCTTTCTGTTTCATACATTTAATGATTAGAGCGAGAACGGTGTCGAGACATCGTGATACACTAGTGTAGTTCTAACCGTGCTAAAAGTATGAAACCGATCGCGTCATAACACAACGCGACAAACAAAATGATAAGGTGTACGCACACAGTAGTGAAGAAGCGAGCAACCATATTCCGCATGTCCAACGAGGTCATTTTCCATCCTCGCTCATGGTAAGGTTAGGAGTTTCTAATTGGGGCTTGACAGAGGTACATTTTTGTGAGAAAGATGTAAAAACGAATGCAGTTGTGTATCAAAATACAGTCCTGACGAACCTTGTGGAACCTCTTTCTCATACCATGTTCAATAACAGGCACTGGGTATTCCAATAAGATTCGGCGCCAGCTCATAGAGCGAAGAGCACACAAGACTGGCTTTCGGCGCGTGAAATCGACTTCATCCGGCACGAAGACTGGCCCTCCTCCGGTCCAGATTTGAGTCCGTTACAAGAATTAGATGAAGAAGATTACAAGATATGGCAACACTTGGAGGAAAAGGCGTGCTCAAAGCCTCATCCCAATTTGGAGTCACTCAAGACATCCTTGATTAAGGCAGCCGCCGATATTGACATGGACCTCGTTCGTGCTGCGATAGACGACTGGCACAGATTGAAGGCTTGTATTCAAAATCACGAAGGTCATTTTGAATAAACTTTATTGTCATAAGAATCTATGTTTTGTTAAGTTCATTTTGGTATATAAATGGTTACATAATGAATAAACTTGTTTCAATTATTTTATATTAAACATGTGACAGAATTTATGACCTGACTAGGTATAATCAGCTTTGCGTTTTCTTCCCCATTACACGACTACCAAAAAAAGGAGTGTAATTTTGCAGAATTCTTATATTTTATGAATATTTGTTTGTTGTTAGTTTCAAGCGAACAAATACTTACTCGTTTTTATGACCCATCAAATAAACGGCCGATGATGATTATTAACAGAATAATGTAATATTACAGAAGCAGGACTGCCCAATGAACAGGACAAGGAAATCCAAGTTGATTCTCCAACAGCGTCAAGAACAACCGAAGAAACTACAGAAACAGGAAACGATGCCCAAAATATTGATGTCAAGATAATTACAGAATACAAAAATAACGACAGTCTCTGTAAACCAACAATTTTTACAAAAAGTAGTGACGAAAATAATGCGTTAAAGAACAAACACATCAAAGTCAAAAATCATAAAGAAAATTTGACATGCGATACCTGCAAAAACGTATTTTTTTGTAAAAGAAATTTAGAAAGTCATATAACTAAATTTCATTCTGAAATATCCGTCATAGCTAACCAAAATTGTACCAACACTAAAGAAAACTGTAATGAAAATGATAATAAAACCAAATTGGAGAGCATTATTGGTTCTGTAACGAGAAGCAACCGTGGACATTCGATAAATAAACGCGATATTAACACCGATATAAAAGAAAAGCCATGTAATTCTAGTTTTAATTTATCCACACATAAAAGAATTCACACGGGAGAGAAACCTTATAAATGTAATGTCTGTGATAAAAGATTTAATGTAAGTGGTCATTTAAACACACATCAAAGAATTCACACAGGTGAGAAACCTTATGAATGTAACGTCTGTGATAAAAGATTTACTGATGGTAGTAGTTTATCCAGACATAAAATTATTCACACGGGAGAGAAACCTTATAAATGTAACGTCTGCGCTAAAAGATTTACTAAAAGTAATGATTTGTCCAAACATCAAAGAATTCACACAGGTGAGAAACCTTATAAATGTAACATCTGTGATAAAAGATTTACTAATGGTAGTAATTTATCCACACATAAAAGAATTCACACGGGGGAAAAACCTTATAAATGTAATGTCTGCGATAAAAGATTTACTGCAAGTGGTAATTTATCCAGACATGAAAGTATTCACACGGGAGAGAAACCTTATAAATGTAACGTCTGTGATAAAAGATTTACTAAAAGTAGTGATTTATCCACACATCAAAGAATTCATACAGGAGAGAAACCTTATAAATGTAACGTCTGTGATAAAAGATTAACTAAAAGTAGTGATTTATCCACACATCAAAGAATTCATACAGGAGAGAAACCTTATAAATGTAACGTCTGCGATAAAAGATTTACTACAAGTTTTAATTTATCCACACATCAAAGAATTCACACGGGTGAGAAACCTTATAAATGTAATGTCTGTGATAAAAGATTTACTGATGGTAGTAATTTATCCAGACATAAAATTATTCACACGGGAGAGAAACCTTATAAATGCAACGTCTGCGATAAAAGATTTACTCAAACTAGTAATTTACATATTCATCAAAGAGTTCACACGGGAGAGAAACCTTATAAATGTACCTAGATAATAATATGTGTTAAACAAATATTAACCATTTCACAAACATCGAAGAATTCACACGGGAAAGAAAGTGAGCCAACGCGCACTTGGGATTTGTGATCGACCAATAATTTAGTCGTTATCGTACGATAACCAATCACCGAAGTATTGTTAATACTTCAATCTCATGGTGTATGATTTTAGAGGGACCAAACTGAAACGCATCTTAAGCGCAAAGGCGGCCTTAGGGGGCTCCGCGGCGTCGCTTTTGCAGGACTACATTTATGTGTCGTGTTGTGCTGTGACTCAGCAGAGAGCTATCTGTTTCATACATCAGAATGATAACAGTAAGGACGGTGTCAACACACCAACATGCACACATACAAAATTGACAAAACAAATTTTACAATTGGTTAAATCCTTTAAAACAGGCAACAAATTATATTTATACAACTATACAATGATATTTTCGTGTGCAGCGGCGATGCGAACGGGTAACTCAGCGTAACATTTGTGTATACGCCATTTGTGCATTTAAAAATTGTAATTTATATGTGTCAAAATAGATGGCGCTGTAGTTTTTTGCATCACGCTAGTAAATATGTTTGGAGCTACATATAGGCAAAACGTCACCAAACTAATAAAGAAATCTATGCTCAAACAAATACACTGTAGTTTCATTTTAATTCTTTTGCACCTAAGCTCTCGGATTTAAGAGTCATTTTGGCTCGAACATGGTCCTTCGAGCCGGATAATTAAATTTGTCCAAGGAGTTTACTTGGACTCGGAGCTGCGGTGCAAGTTTTTGTTTGAAAGACGTCACGGACAGTGGATCGCCGTTGCAAACGTGACGTGTGGCTGGAGCGGCGCACGTGAAGCGCTGATACCAAGCCGACAGCAAGGGTGCTGTCAGGCCCAAGAGCTGGTGACGTAGCTGGTGGAGGATACTACTGAAGGTGGTGCCATCTGGAGGAGCAAGGTGACGAGGATTCCATATCGTTTGTTCCCCACGAGTCACACTGTAACCTGTAACACTGTGACTCGTTGGGAGAACTTTGTAAAATAATTCCCAACCAGTCACACTGTAACACGTTGGGAGATCTTACTTAAATAATTCCCAACCAGTCACACCACACTGTGACACGTTGGGAGACCTTTCTTAAATCATTCCCAACCAGTCACACTCTGGCTCGTTACGCCAACCTGCTGATAGGTATACTGTTACATAATTGTTTTAAACTTTCATGCTCACTAACATTATAGTACTTAATATAAGTTATTTACGGGATTGTTACCATACGTTTACATTATTTACGTGCTTGACAAGACGGCACGATTTCATCTTGTGTGAGTGAAGCGGATGAACTGTGAGTACTTTTATTTTCGACCTTATTTCTATGAAGAAATTTAAACAAATTGTGGTATTATTAGAAAGGTGAGCCTTATTTCTTAGTGAATTTTAACTTAAACAATTATTTGTGTTATTAAAGACTTAAAAATTTGTGTTGTAGATTTAGGAACTTAGAATAGTTGTAAGAAAAGCGAAGGCACGGGCAACCTATGCCTGATTTCGGTCAGAGTTTAATGTTACGCCAAATACTTAAAAAATTATTAAAAAAAATCCCTTATTAAGTTGTGTTTTTTTGTGAGCTAGAACAAAGTTTCTTTTATTATTAATGATTGTTTCTGTTTATGAAAAATTGATAATTTAACTTGATAAAAAAATGGAGCAATTAATTCATTCTCAAGAAGATCTTTATACGCGGCTCACTAAGGCAAAGAGTAACTTCAAAAAGAGCCCTAAATGTCGAATTAATAAAGACTATGTAGACAGCAAAATAGAACTTTTAGAACAAATGTGGTTTGAGTTCTCAGCCGGACATAAGGAATTGATGCGTTCTGTATCGTCGTCGGGTGAATTAGCCGATACGACATATGTAAAAAATGATGTTTATGAAAAGGCAGAGGAAATATATTTTGAATATAAAATGGACCTTAAGTCCATCCTGTCCACGGTGACATGTAAAGAAAGTAATGAGAAAATGAGTGTTACAGGCTCGGTTAGTTCAAATTTATCACAAGTTAAGCTACCTAAAGTGAATATTCAAAATTTTACAGGGCGGTATTCTGAGTGGAATACCTTCCGTGATTTGTTCTGCTCTTTGATTCATAATAACAAAGCATTAGGAAATGTCCAAAAATTACTATACTTGAAAGGTTATTTACAGGGAGAGGCTGAACAGCTTGTAAATAATATTTCGATCACAGAAAGTAATAATGAAAGGTGTTGGCAATTACTCGAAGAAAGGTACAACAATAAAAAATACATTTGTCATCATATTTTGAAAAAATTGTTATCACAAAGAAATATTGTTTGTGAGTCTGCTAGTAGTTTGTAGGAATTATTGGATACAACGAATGATTGTTTGTCGTCATTGAAAAATATAGGTGTAAGTACAGATACTTGGATGTGCTCGTAATTCATATTATAACTTTAAAGTTAGATTTGGAATCTCGACGACAATGGGAATTTTTTGCCACTGATAATAGTTCTTCTGAGCTACCTACCTATGAGCAATTTGAAGAGTTTTTGAAAAACCGTTATCGTGCCATAAAGTTTTTAGAGGCTGGCTCTAAAGGTATGAATAAACATCAAAGCAACAAACTGCCTATGAATAAAATCAAGTCTATGCACATATCAAAGATTGTTTGTCAGTTTTGTTCAGAGGACCATAGGCTTAGTTATTGTAAAAGTTTTATGAACGAGTCCGTAGAACCACTTCGAAGTTTTGTTTTAAATAACAATGTATGTTTTTGCTGCTTGGGTAGTAATCACTCTGCCAAGAGTTGCCAAAGTAATTATAAATGTCGCATTTGTAGAAAAAGACATCACGTACTCTTGCATCCTATAAGTAAGGGTACAGAAAGTAATGGCTCCTTAAGGGAGAAGGTAACATCAAATGATACTGTCACCTATAATAAGAATTTGAGGCCAAGTACTACCTCGTCAAATGCTGATATTACTGAGTGGGTTCCTGTGGTTTCTTGTATTTCCACAAGACACGTTACATATAATCAGGTGTTACTAGCGACTGCTTTAGTGAACACAATGGCTAAAAATGGTCAAATGTTTACTATTCGGGCATTGTTGGATCAGGGATCCCAATCGTCTTTTATAACAGAATCCATGGTTCAACTGTTGGGCCTAAAGAAAATTCCTGTTAAGGGTCTTTGTGGAGTAGGTGGTGAAAGTGGATTAGTATCCAAGGCTATGGTTAATATAAAAATAACGTCAAGAGTTGATAAAAATGTTTTGATAGATGTAAATGCTGATGTTCTTAAGTCCATTACCACATTGTTGCCTACAAATAAGATAAGGGCTGTGGAATGGAAGGAAATTATTGTTCTCGCCGACCCTGGCTATTACACTTCCAATCGTATTGACATGTTGTTAGGCTCAGAAATGTATAGTCAGATATTTCAAGATGTCGTAAAGAAAGGGTCACATGGCTCGCCACTCGCGCAATGTACTTCGTTGGGTTGGATATTGTCAGGCGTGGTCAATGCGTGCAGTACACCATCTGAAAGAATAAACGTTATGAATTGTCAACTTGAAGAAAATGAGCTTCTAAGAAAATTTTGGGAACTGGAAGATGATCTTCCAATGTCAAAAGAAAAAATGTATACTGAAAAAGAGAAGCAATGTGAGAAAATATTTGTTGAGTCAACACGTAGAGATGAAAGTGGCAGGTATATAGTGCGACTTCCTTTTAAAGCTGGAGTCCCTGAAGTTACTAATTCATTGCAGATAGCTAAAAAAAGATTATATTCATTAGAAAAGAGCTTGAAGACTGGAGACCTGAAAGAAAAATACAAAGAGGTTATTAATGAATATCTTGAAATGAATCACATGGAATTAGTGCCAGAGTCAGAAATAAAAAATGAAAGGGCAATATACATACCACACCACGTTGTTGTCCGAGATGATAAAGATACTACGAAGGTAAGAGTAGTCTACGATGCTTCTTGCAAGGGTAGTAATAATCGGTCTTTAAATGATCATTTATTGGTAGGTCCAACTCTGCAATCAGATTTGAGACATATTGTTATGCGTTGGATAACAAAAGCAATTTGTTTAGCAGCTGATATAATAAAAATGTATCGGCAGGTGAAGATTGATAATAAAGATGTTGACTATCAGAGAATTTTATAGAGAGATGAAGTGGACGCTGAGATTAAACATTATAGGTTGACAAGAGTTACCTTTGGAGTAGCGTCCTCTCCATATGTTGCGGTGAAGTTATTACAACAAATTGCCAAAGATGAAGGTCATAAACATCCTCTGGCGGCTGAAAAGGTGGTGACAGATTTTTATATCGATGATTTTATGTCAGGGTGTGAGTCCGTTACAAAGGGATTGAATCTATATAGAGATATGAATGATTTATTAGAAAAATGTGGATTTCAACTACAAAGTGGACATCTAATAATAAAGAACTTTTAAAGGCAATAGAAGAAAGTGAACTTAGTTCTAATATAGTTCAAGGAAAAACAGAAATAAATAAAGATAGTTTAAAAATTAAAACAGATGAAATAATAAAAATTGTCGGACTTATCTGGAATAGCAGTGAAGATGCCTTCCGCTACAAGGTGGAGGTACCCACCATTGAAGAACCTGTAACAAAAAGAAAGATCATATCGGTCATATCACGTTTTTATGATCCCTTAGGGTGGGCGGGGCCAAGTATTATAATAGCAAAGCTAATTATTGAAAGGCTTGGCTGGCTGGTATAAGTTGTGATGAAACAGTACCAAATGAAATTTTAAAAG